TTGCTGCGTTGGAACCAACATGATAGCACCAGACAGTAAACCATTGTACAAATCTCTGGAGTCTGGTACTTCTCAACATCCCTGCCGCTCTCTGTCACTGTGTCTCATCCAGCTGTGTCCTCCGCCCCTGCCCTACTCTCTGGTCTAACATCCAGCCATACTAGCTGCCCTTCTGTCCCCTGAATATCCTATGCTCCACACACCACAGGGCTTTTGCACGTACCATCCCTGCTGCCCAGAATGCTACCCTCTTCATTTGAGGTTCTCCCATCATCCTCCAGATCCCAGCCTTTCTGTGGTCCCTTCAGGGAAACTGTCCCAGATTTCCTGGTACCCTCTAAGCATCACAACTCTCCTTTTCAAAGTTGTAATTATCTACTTGGTGGTGTGAGGCACTGATTAATGTCCCTTGACCATGAACTCCAAGAAGACAGGTTGATCTTGGTCACAGTTGAATCCTAGGGCCTGCAAGAGGTCTTGGCAGATAACAGGGCTGATGCAGACCTGTTAATGAATGTTAAAACTGGTAGGTGGGTGGATGGAAAGATGGTGGAAGGATGGATGGTTGAATCAATAAATGGACTGGTGGATGGCTGAAAGACTGGATGGGTGGAGAGATGAAGGGATAGAGGGGTGGGAAAATAAAATGAATAATGGTTGGGTGGAGGATATATGGTGGTTAAATTGGTACATGGATGGGTGGTAAATTACAGGTATGCTGGTGATGGTGGGATGGATGGGGGTCTGTTAGATTGATAGTTGGAATGGTGGATGAAGAACTGAGTGAAAAGATGAGTGGATGAATGGAAGGAGGGGTGGTTGGGCGAGTGGGGAGATAAATAGAATGAATGATGGTTATGTGGATGGATGGTTTAGATTGATAGTTGGAATGGTGGATGAAGGGTTGGATGGATGAATGAATGGATGGTTGTTAGTTGGAATCATAAGTGAATGGTTGGATGGATGATGAATGGTTGTTACATTGATAGCTGCAATGGTGATGAAGGACTGAATGGAAGGATGAGTGAGTGGATTAATGAATGATGGTTGGATGGTTGGATGTTGTTAGACTGCTGGTTGGAATGGTGGTTAGATGGATGCAAGGATGGATGGAGAGATAGGTGGATGAGTAAATTAAATAAACAATGGTTGGATGGAGGATGGATGGTTTATAGATTGATAGATGGAATGATGGATGGATTGATGAATGGGTGGGTGGATACATTAAATGAATGATGGATGGATTGTTATTAGATCAATGGATTAATAGTGGATGAATAATTGGATGGATGGATGGATGGATGGAGGTAGGGAGGGGTGGATGGAGGGATAAATAAATGAAATGAATGATGGACGGATGGTTGTTACATTGATAATTGGAATGGTGGATTAATGGTTGGATGGATGTATATGGAAGGATGGATGGGTGGGTACTTGGATAAATGAATGATGGTTAGATGGTTAGATTAATAGTGGATGAATAGTTAGATGGATGGATGGATGGAGGTAGGGAGGGGTGGATGGAAGGATAGATAAATGAAATGAATAGATGGATGTTGGATAGATGGTTGTTTGTTTGATGTTTCGGTAGGTGGATGGATTATTGTTAGAGGGATGGACGACTTGGTAGGTGGAATGATGAAAGAATGGGTAGATAGAAGAATGGGTGGGTGGGTGGATGGATAGCTCTAAGCCTCCAGGTCTCAGAAATTGGTGGCACCCATGACCCCTACAGGCTCTGCCCTTTGATAACTTTACCCTGGCTTTTCCTACCCACAACTGCATGACAGGTGCCCCAGGACATGAAGTGGGGTCTAATGACTGCACAGAGGGCACCGACCCTACCCAGAGATCCAGACCATGGGCAGCCTCTGCCCTCATCCCTGACAGATGTGTGAACCTAGCAGCGCTGTGGCTAGGGTGGCAGACCTCCTGGAGAAAGATGCCATCATGTTTGTGGGAAGAGTCAGAGGAGGGCCTTGGGCGAAAACAGGGTCTCTGTGGGGGAAAATTCATGAATAATGTCAGGGAAGGGCTAAAGAGTAGACACTGGTATTCTTAGACGAAAGCTGAGGGATCAGAGGGAAGTAGGGAGCCTGGGGGCTCTGAGACTATTTCTCAAGGACACAAAGGACCAGGAAGTTAGGTCACACTTAGGGGAGAAAGGAGGATTGTCTGTCATATGCATTTGAGGTATAGATGAAAGAGAAGGGGTTGTACCATGGGGCGATGGAGCAGGGTGTTTCTGAAGAGACTTTGGGGTCTATTTGACAGAGAAGTTAGTGTGCTTTATCTTAGGGTCTGGGAGAGTTGTTGAAAGCTCTGGGGCTATAGGATCACCCCACATAACCCACAACATGGGCCACACTCCAGGTCCAGCTCCCTTGACTCTTACTCCAAGCCCTTGATCCCTCCTCTACCTTCTCCAGCCCCCCAGGAGGCCAAGTCTGGGGGCCAGATTTGCCCCTGAACCTTCTGCTTAGCTTCCACCTGGGCTCTCATCCCACTCCTTTCCAGGGTTCCTTATGTTCAGGCAGCTCAGGACCCTCATGATCATTCCCAGGTTTAATTCCAAACAGATTTCAGATGTCCAGTCCAGGGCAGCAGCTGGTGGGCACACTGGCCAGCCAGTTACATCCTCCTCTTCTTCATCCATGTGGGCTGTGCCCCCCATCACTTATCATGGAAATTCCCATCATCCCAGGGGGACCCTAAGGGAACATCAGCATGTGCGCAGCCTGAGATCCCCAAAGCACCTAAATTCTCTCCCCAAAAGGCAACTGTGTGCCCAATTTTTCCAAGAAGAGAAACTGAGCCAGCCAGGGAGGAAGCCATGGGACCCCTCACCTTAGGAGAGAAACAGTCCAGCCCAGGAGGAGGAGACGGGGGCTCCCCAACCCCATGAGCAGTCCCAGACAGATCTGGTACCTAAATCCTGCTTCCAATATATTCTTAAAGGCGAGAAGAGTTTCTGTCTTTGGTATACACAGCCTCACTCAGGTGAAGGGTGGAGGCTGGCTGACCTTGCCCACCCCGGCCCCCCTCCCCCCCCCCGGGAGGAGGGCGATTCCAGATGCTCATGTGCAGACGAGGGGAGAGACAGCGGCATTCCAGGAATGACCGGGTCCAAGAGGCTGAGAGCTCGTAAGGCCACAGCGGGCTCTGGGAACAAGGCAGGAGCCTCGCGACCTGCCACCTGGGGAAGACAGGGAAACAGCGGTCAGGGCTCAGCTGATTCAGCCACCCCCAACCCCGGAACATCATGACACACCAAGTCCTGCGTGTCAACCTCCACAGAACCACAGGGCTACACTCCCCATGGGCCCCGGGCCCTGCCGTGTGACCCAGGACAGTGCCTCCACCTCTCTGGATGCCTCCCAGACACCGAGCGGGAATGCTGATAGCAGTGCCTCGGGTCCATGGCGGTTCAAAGCCACTGGCTCCTTGGGAGGAAGATGGATGAGGCCGTCTGTTCCCAGGAAGAATAGCAGTCTCAGAACCCCAGGGAGCGGTTGGTCTCTGTTGTATAAGGTCCTTTGGGTTTGAAAATGACCCCACAATACTGAGTGATTGCAGCAGGCAGCATCATTGGTTGGATCACAGAGTCCTCTGGGAGCAGACAGAACTGGGGACCTCTGGCAGATAAAGAACCCACGAGCCCATCATGAAGCTGACCCCCCAGGCCAGGAAGTCCCCTCTGCCAGCAGCTGGAGGAGGCTGCACAGGGAAGGGGGAGGTGTTGACAGAGGCAGAGACGATGTCCAGGAAGGTGGAGGGACTGGACCCCTGTCATGGAGACAGGAATTCAGCGTGACCCGCCCACAATTCACCTCTCTGAGAAGACACATCCTAGGGACTAGACTGTCCCTCCTCATCAGAGGTTCCTCGTCTTGCCCACCTTGAAGCCACATGGGCCCCTGCCTGCCCCCAGAACAAAACACACCCTACTGCCCCCCTTCACCACAACACCCCACTGTTTTCACCCTGCAAGCCACAGTCCTGAGGCCTCTGCAGGGTGGTCAGAGGACCCGTCCTCCCAGGAGGAAGCAGGGGTCTCAAAATCCCATACTTAACATGTTGTTGTTGTTAAGTGCCGTCGAGTCGGTTCCGACCCATAGCGACCCTGTACAGGGTTTCCGAAGCTGTAAATCTTTATGCGAGCAGAAAGCCTCATCTTTCTCCCGTGGAACAGCTGATAGTTTCGAACTGCTGACCTTAAGGTTCACAGCCCGATTCGTAACCACTACGCTACCAGAGCAGTAAGCAATTCCACTTGAAGATACCCCCTAAGGAAATCAGAACATCCGTCCACAAAAGGAACTGCACGTGAATGTTCACAGCAGAACCACCCCCAAGAGCGAAAAAGTGGGAGCCCTCCAAGGGGGTCCATCAGCAGACAAATGATGGATACACGATGCAGCCCATGGAACAGGCTCAGTCACAGAGAGAAATACACACTGGAGTGTGGGTGAACCTTTAAAACACCATGCTCAGAGAGAAGCCAGTCATTAAAGGTCACATGGCAAACGATTCCACTGATATGAAATGTCCAAGACAGGCAAATGCCAAGGCAGGAAGTGGACTGGGGGAGGGGAGCATGGTGTGACTGCTGATGTGATGTTCTGGAACCAGACAGAGGTACAAGAAGCTCTGGTGGTGGTATCGGTCAGGCAACTGGGCTGCTAACTGCAAGGTAGGTGGGTCAAACCCATCAGCTGCTTCAGGGGAGAAAGCCGGGACTGTCTGCTTCTAGGAAGATTTACAGCCTCAGACACCCTAGGAGTTCGAATCCACTTGATGGCTGGGGATTGGGTCTAGATAGATGACCTGGTGCACAAGCCCATGGATGTACTGACAACGGCTGAGCTGCAGGTGCTAAGCAGGTGAATTGTACAGACATGCATCATGCCTCCGCCATTTATTTGTTGGTTGTTTTTTTGACGAGAGAGGAATCTGGCTGGGGGGCAGCAGTCCCCTGCACGCACCTGGTGACGTCGGGCTCAGGGCTCCCGCTTGACCACACCTCGCAGGTGCAGCTCACTCTCGGCGGCCACAATGGGCTGCCCATTCTGCAGGTGGTAGTCAATGAGGTGGCTGATGCTCTCAAACAGAACGTCCTTCGTCCGCACCTGCAGACACAGAAGCAGTTGCATCGGCACCCCAAGCCCACCTGGCCACGCTGAGCGGAGTTCATGTCTTAGCCAGACCTCTGTGAGCCTCAGACTTGCAAGTGACTGAGGACCCGGGACCAGAGAACACCCGCGTCACACAGGTCAACCTCCAAATCCAAGCACTCTGGGTAATAGCCAGCAGGGGGCTGAGAGGCAGCTCCCAGAAAGACATGTCCACATGCAACCCCAGAACCTGTGGGTGGTCTTATTTGAAAAGAGGGTCTTTGGAGATGTGATTAAGTGAAGGACCTGGAGACAAAGAGATTATTCTGGATGGACCCTAAATGCAGCAGCAAATGCCCTTTTAAGAAGGAGAAAGAGAAGACCAGGCAAGGATGGAGGCAGAGACTTGAGAGATGTTGCCTAAGCCAAGAATCACTGACCTCTACCAGAGCTAGATGAGCAAGATGCTGTCCAGTGGAGGGAGCCACAGGACTGTGAGAAAACACATTTCTGTTCTTGTAAGCACCCCACTTTGTGAGAAAATCCTAAGGCAGCCCTGCGTTTTTGGAGACCTGAGTACTAAAACCCAGAATCAGAAAGAAAGAAAGAAAGAAGAAAAGAAGGAAGGAAAGAAAAAAGGAATGAATGAAAGAAAGAAAGAGAGGAAGGAAGGAAGGAAAGAGAGGAAGGAAGGAAGGAAAGAGAGGAAGGAAGGAAGGAAAGAGAGGAAGGAAGGAAGGAAAGAAAGAGAGGAAGGAAGGAAGGAAGGAAGGAAAGAAAAGATCCACCCAAGTTGGGTCTGAGAAGAACTTCAGCATCTCTGAATGTCCTTGCCCTCAGGCCTTGACCCTTCACAGAGGAGTCCGGCGTGCTGGACACACATACTTAAGAATAGGTGAAAATGCACATCCTGGGTCCCATGGCAAAATCATGTAACTCCATGGTGCTGGGACCATGACTGGGGATGTACGTACTTAAACTAAGTATGTGAGGACATTCAGAATTTCCTGAATGGTTTCCATTATAATAAATGCTCTCTTCTTCTTCTCATTTTGGCATCTTTGAAATCTGGATTGTTTTTTTTTTTTTCCTTCTTTTTGTCATTGGATTGCATCTTTGAATTGTATTATTTAATTGGGAGGTTTTCTCCTCTTTCCTTGTGATACAGAAGACAAGGATGCATTAACCTCATGGCCCACTTTTCAGTCAAGCACTAGATAGGTTTGTTGTTGTTGTTGTCGTTGTTAGGTGCCATCGAGTTGGTACCGACTAATGATGACCCTATGCACAACAGAGTGAAACACACTGCCCGGTCCTGGGCCAACCTCACAACAGTTGCTACACCTGAGCCCATCGCTTCTACCACTGTGCCAATCCATCTCGTTGGGGGGTCTTCCTCTTTTTCTCCAACTCTCCAGTTTACCAAACATGACTGGTCCTTCCTGACAATATGTCCGAATTATGAGAGATGAAGTATGAGAGGCCATCTGGCTTCCAAGGAGCACTCTGGCTGCACTTCTTCCAACATAGACCTGTTTGCACTTTTGGCAGCCCATGGCACTTTCAATATTCTCCTCCAACATTATAACTCAAATGCATCAATTCTTCTATGGTCTTCCTTATTCACTGTCCACCTTTTATATGCACATGAGGTTATTGAAAATACCATGGCTTGGGTCAGGCACACCTTAGTCTCAAGCTGACGTCTTCTGTTGAACACTATAAAGAGGTCTAGTGTAGTACATTTGCCCAATGCAATGTCACTTGATTTCTTGACTGGTGTTTCCGTGAGTATTGATGGTTGTCGTTGCTGTTGTTAAGTGCTATTGAGTCGATTCCGACCCATAGCGACCCTGTATAGGGTTTCCAACGAGCAGCTGTTGAGCTTGAACCAACGACCTTGAGTTCAAATGACTTTGCAGTCTGACGCATTAGCCCACAGCCCCACACCAAGACAGGACTTGATGGTGGATCCTAGAAAATGAAGTCTTTGACAACTTCAATCTTTTCTCCACTTATATGGGTGTTGTCGATTGGTTCAGATGTGAAGATTTTTGTTTCCTTTACTTTGAGGTGCAACCCATACCGGAGGCTATGGTCTTTGATCTTCATCAGTAAGTAATTTAAGTCCTCTTCACTTTCAGTAAGCAAGGTTGTATCATCTGCATATTGCAGGTTGTTAATGAGTCTTCCTCCAATCCTGAAGTTCTTCAAATAATCACAGGTTGGTAAACCTCCAATCCTGATGCCACATTTTCTTTCATACGATCCACCTTCTTGGATTCTTTGCTCAGTGTACAGATTGAATAAACATGGTGAAAAAATACAACCCTGGTGCACACCTTTCCTAATTTTAAACCATTCTGTTTGAACAACTGTCTCTTGGTCTCTATAGAGGCTCTTCTTGAGCACGATTGTTCCAGAATACTCATACTTCACAATGTTGTCCATAACTTGTCATGATCCACACAATTGAAAGCCTTTGGGTAGTCAATAAAGCACAGGTAAACATCTTTTTGGCGTTCTCTGCTTTTAGCCAAAATCTGGCATCAGCAATGATGTCCCTCATTTCATGTCCTCTTCTGAATCCGGCTTGAACCTCTGGAAGTTCTCAGCCATTTTGGGATTATCTTTAGTAAAGTTTTACTTGCATGGGATATCAATGGTATTGTCCGATGATTCCCACATTTCGTTGGGTTACTTGTCTTTGGAATAGGTACAAATATGGATCTCTTCCAGTCAGTTGGCCAGGTAGCTGTCTTTCAAATTTCTTGGCATAGATGAGTGAGTGCCTCCAGTGCCATGTCAGTTTGTTGAAAGATTTCAATTTGTATTCCATCGCTGTGACTTGTTCTTTGCCAGTGCACCCTGGATTTCTTACTGCTGGATCACTGGCTCTTGATCATATGCTACCTCTGGAAATGGGTGAACATCAACTGTTTCTTTTTGATACAATGACTGCATATTCCTTCCATCTTCTTTTGATGCTTACTGCATCATTTAATATTTTCCCCACAGAATCCTTCAATACCACAAGTAGAGGCTTGAAATTTTTCTTCAGTTCCTTCAGCTTGAGAAATGCTGAGAATGTTCTTCCTTTTTGGTTTTCTAACTCCGGGTCTTTGCACATTTTGCTATAATATTTGACTTTGTCTTCTTGAGCTGACCTTTGAAATGTTTTGTTCAGCTCTTGTACCTCTTCTTTTCTTTCATTTGCTTTAGCATCTCTACATTGGAGAGCAAGTTTTAGACATACATTTTGGTCTGTTCCTTCTTTCTTGTCTTCTTAATGTCCTGTATGATGTTCTTGATGTCATCCCATAACTCTTCTGGCCTTTGGTCTTTAGTGTCTAATTCATCAAATCTGTTCTTCAGGTTATCTCTAAATTCACGTGGGATATATTCAGGGTAAAATTTTGGCTCCTGTGGACTTCACTTGTTTTCATTTTCTTCAGCTTCAGCTAGAATTTGCACACAAGCACTTGATGGTCTTCCACAGTCTGCCCCTGGCCTTGTTTTGGCTGATGATATGGAGCTTTTCCCTGTCTCTTTCCACAGAGGCAATTTGATTTCTGTGTATTCCATCTGGTGAGGTCCATGTATATAGGCATCCTTTATGTTGTTTAAAAAGGTACTTGTAATGAAGGAGTCATTGGTCTTGCAAAATTCTATCATGCAAATTCCAGCATTGTTTCTATCACCAAGGCCATATTTTCCAACTACTGATCCTTCCTCTTTGTTTCCAACCTCTGCGTTCCAATCACCAGTAATGATCAATACATCTTGATTGCATGTTTGATCAATTTCAGACTTAAGAAGTTGGTAGAATTCTTCAATTTCATCCTCACTGGCTTAAGTGGTTAGTGCATAAATTTGAATAATAGTGGTATTAACTGGTCTTCCTTGTAGGCATATGGATATCATCCTATCACAGACAGCATTGTACTTCATAACTGACCTTGATGTATTATTCTTTTTGGTGATGAATGCAACACCATTTCTCTTCAATTTGTCATTCCTGGCACAGTGAACCATGTGATTGTCAGATTCAAAATGGTCAATACCAGTTTAGTTCAGCTCATTAATGCCTAGGATAGCAATATTTATATGTTCCATTTCATTTTTGACAATTCCCAATTTTCCTAGTTTTATACTTTGTACATTCCATGTTCTGATTATTAATGGACGTTTACAGCTGTTTCACTTCATTTTGAGTTGTGAATGAAGGTCCGGAAGACTTCACTCCATTTGCGTCATCACGGTCAACTCTACTTTGAGGAGGCAGCTCTGCCCCAGTTGCATTTCGAGTGACTTCGAACCTGAGGG